TCAAATGACATTCTTCTTAAAAATCAATGTGATGTTAGTTTTTTAAGATGTAAAATTTCAGATTAAGTGACAGAATTAAGTATTTCCTACCCTTCCACTACTCTTCCAGTGCATACAAACATTACTTTTCTCACACACATTTCTTGAAAGACATAAAAATGTATACACCACTGCCTTTCCAGTATCTTTGTAAGTAAAGAATATCCAAAATTCAAGACATGATGAAATAGTTGAATCAATCAGTAATACCGGAAGAACTTACATGGATCAGAAAGCTAAATGCTTTAAAAATATTCAATGTTATGTAGGAAATTACTAATAGAAAATAGAATAAATCAGTGAAAAGCACAGATTCATGGGAGAATTTTCTGTAGCCATGGCCACAAGAACGTAAAATGAGTAATTCTTTTCTTCCTCAAGCAATTATTTTAAAGAATAGTCCTTACCACGATCATTTCTGAAGGTTCCAACACAATGCATTCACAACCTCGTTTTCCTCCAGATTGCTTGCCAAAGCTGAGAAGAAAAATGGGAAAATGTAAAGTCCACATTACACAGTAAGCAGGAAAGACAGAAAAATGGGAAAATGTAAAGTCCACATTACACAGTAAGCAGGAAAGACAGAACCAAACTTTAGTAATAGTAAAGTATTGTACAAAACAAAAAGGTATCTTGTATTATATTCCATATCACTATTTTAAGGAGCAATATAACTTTTTGATATATTACCGATGTTTTATACAGTTCATTAAAACATCAATTTAGAAAAGCACCCAGAAACACTACACAAAAAAGGTCTATATATTATAAAAGTTACAAAGAATGAAAGCAAAATAAAGAGAGATAATTGTATTAATGACAGCCAGTTTGATGTAGGGGTTAAGGTATTGGGCTAGAAACTGGGAGACTGTGAGTTCTAGTCCCACCTTAGGTGGAAAGCCAGCTGATGACCTTGGGAAAATCATTCTCTCTTAACCCCAGGAAGCAGACAATGGCAAACCACTTCCAAAATCTTGCCAGACTGCGGGGACTTATTTAGGCAGTCACCAGGAGTCAAAGGCACACATAAATAGTAATAGAAAAATGTAGCAGCAAAACCAACAAAAAGTCTCACAATGTCTTATATTACAGTATAACATCAGTTTCTATAGCTGCATTAGATGACTGTAATATTAGTTTGAGATAAAGGTATAGAAAACATGCCTTGTAGAACAGAATGTATAATGAAGTAAGAGGGAAATAAAGCAGACACGAACTGGCAAATCAAGTTCCCTCTTTTTTCCCCCGTTATCTCTGGGTACATTCCCAACAGCTTCAGTGGTTGGATGAACCTTTGGGAAAATGTTAGTGGGTGGATGTGGTACAGGGAAAAGGAAAACTCCAGTTGTATGAGCAGATGTCAAGTGCAAAAAATCAGGACCATATGTTAAGTTCTAGTTAAGATTTATTGCTTAAGCCTATACACAAGAATCTAGTGAACCAAATTGGCACTGGGCCCCAGGCTCGGCTTCTTCTTCTACAGCAGATTTTCAGGGGTAAAGCATGAGATTTAAACGATAGGATCATTAGAAGATAAATTTTTCTCTATTTCCCAGAGAGGGAGAGGGAAAGGGAGAGGGAGAGAGAGACTTGCTAGTGCAGATTGATATAATATACATTTTTGGGCAAAAATGAATTCTATTAACAGCTCAAATTACATTATTTATTCATCAAGGAAAAAGAAGAAACAACTTTGAATACTAAGGAACAAGGCGAAATATGAAAAAGACAAATTATTATGCATACATTACACATCATCAGAAAATATTTACCATTTATTAGAGTAATCTAATAAGTATAATAGTAAGAATAACAAGTAATTTTTCTTAAAAGGTTCTAGTTTTTAGAGTAAAAATCATCTTGCATTATAATAACTTTAAATATTGTTCATTATTTTCAAAGTTCTAAGTAAAAAGGTGGAATCTATTACCATCCACTCAACAGGGCCCTTTAAAACCCAAAAACGTGGGGAGGGCTTGCCAAAATTGCTATTAGAGATATAGATATATTTAAGAAATAAGTTTGATGAAACCAATTAAAAATGTTTTGGATAAGTCTTTATCACAATGATTGTGATGAGTATAAAGCAGGAAGTAGCACAACCAGCAAGGATAAATTTCCATTTTTACCAGACATCATATACAATAGAATATGTATTTTTAAGTTTATTAACTGTCTTGAACTTGCACATACTACTAAATTACTCTCTTCATAGTGAAGTGCAGGAAATAATTATTGTGTTAAAAGAAATTATTTAGGTTGGGCATACAAATGCTAAAACACTACTAAGGCAAGAACTACATTCTATATCTGCTGAAGCTACTGTTCTGCTCAATATTAATGTCACACATCATTTGAAAATAATTTCACAGTAATTAAAACATAAAATAAATGAAACAAGTTCCTCTATGACCTACTTATTGAGTGTTTCAGGGTAAAATATAGATATATATAATGCTGTAAAACAGTAAAAACCTCTTATTTAAATTAGACTTGGTACAACATTGATAAATCACACCATAGGCTCAAATACTATCAAAACAGCTATCTATATGAAATGAACTATTTTGACATTTTATTAACCACCTTACAGTTTATAGAAAAGGATTTGCCACAAGGCATTGTATACAGTACATGCAATACTTACCGTATTTACCAAAGGACTTTAAAATATAACACAAATAGTAGTGAGGTCCACACATTTCAGAATTAATTCCATTAAATTAGAAACAGAATATTACTCCATTAACAAGAAAGATCATAGAAAAATGGTAAGAAAATAGGTCTGTGCAAAACATTCAAAAAAGTTCCTTTGCTTAAAAAGAAAAAAAAAGTTCACTGGAATGAGCAAAATGCCCCCCCTCAGAACAGCCACATCCTCTAAAAGGCTTGCTGTGCTGTTTTGAAGGCTTTCCTCAGCTGTCTGCACATGTGCATGCATGCCCAACTGCTGTGCTTCACTGGCAGTTGCAGCAGAAATATGATTTATGCATCCATATTTGCACGTGCACATAAACATGCAAAATAAAAAAAAAGCCTAGAAGATGATGCACCATGTTTTCCAGAAGACTGTTACCTTAACACTTTGAGGACAGGTCCTACCTGTTCCAACATGCTTTGCAAAGAATTAGGGTGCATTCTATTGCTTTGCAAAACCCTGCCTAACACAAACACACAGTGCATGCATTAGCTCCCATATTTAATTCCCATTACCTTCCAAGTATTATAAGAAAACACCACTATTGAAAATCTGGAGAGTAGCAATAAATAGCTGCATGAATCAAGATCTACTTCAGCATCAGACACTGAATAGCAATATTATTTTGCTTAAATGTTAAAAAAAATGAGTCTTCTGGTTAAACAAAATTATAATTAGAAACAGTGTGGACTCTTTGGAAATGCTGTCTAAAGTTTTCATTTTCTTTTTTACAAGTCATATGCTCACATTTGTGGCCTACTCAACCAACATTTCAACCTCACTTCTACTTTAAGGAAAATGCTCACAGATATTCATATAGAACAATTATTTTCTGCATGCTTACACATTAAGCAAGATGAATTTGTCGAACTTGGCAAATTCTCTTCACTTACTGCTGCTCTGCCACCTACATCCTTGGGACATTACCCCCAAAATTAAGGGATTAAACTTAAACACACACACACACACACACACACACACACACAGAGCGCTTTCCAATTTCTAATTCTTGTTTTCAAATTTCCTACCCCACTCGCCACCTTTGATGCAGCACTAAGTTGGTTGCTACAATGCTGCTGTTAGCTTTAATGTAAAATTTAGGAAGCCCTGGTCAAACTATATTTTACAATGAATCTCTAAGTAAACAGATGTTGATACAATTTTAACTTCATACCAAGTTAAAGACATTTTTCTGACAATTTAAAAGCATGCTTAACAATACTGAATTGTTTACAGATTGAATATGGCTGGTGCAAACTTTAGACACCCTTGAAGCCAATGATTTATAATATCTCCTTTTATCGAAACAACAGTTTTCAAACTTTTCTTAAAGCCAGCTATTTTTGATTTTGAAACATTTTTCCCAGTATTCCTTGCAGAATTCTTCTGATTCAGAAATATTTTTAAATCTTGCAAGTACTATTATGTTTGAAATATCCCTATTCAAGTTTATGAACTATAAAGGATATTCCAAATTCTTTACCGCTCTTTTCTGGAATTACTTTATGGTTGATTTAAAAGTATACTTCTGATCACTCTCTTGAATTTGTTCATTAACTAGGCCCCATGAGCTTGCAGACCAAGAACAATATTTGTTAGAACTGGTCAATCAATTCAAATATCTCTGCAAATGATCTGCTAAAAAAAGCTGACAGTGGAGTAGTTGTCTATTTCACTTGCTTGAATCATTAAGATCTGCATGGAAGGGTGCTCAGAGGAAAACTTCTCGAAACTCATCCTACATATATCATAGTGTAACAGAAAACCTAGATTAGTCTGAAATATTTCGAAACAGAATTTTTGGACTAATGGAACTAACACTGAATGATTTGGTCAGAACCACAAAATGTATGTTTGAAGCATTTAAGAAAATAACACCTTGCCAACCATTAAGACGAAGAGTTCTAGTCTACTAGGGACTGTGTGGCAGCCAAAAGTATAAGAATTAATTATGTGGAGAGAAGCAAGAATGAATTTAACTGAATATCAAAATATGCTTGAAGCTACGTAGTCAGAGACAGAGCTGACATTGAAAAGAAGTATGAGATGCTGACAATCAAAAAGTTTCATGAATTTGATAACAGAATACCAGATAATAAACAAAAAACAGAATAATTCAACATATATTTTAGCTTAGAATTTTCTGAGAATAGTGTATATATATTGCACCAGGAAACTGAGAGTTGACCTTACTGGAAACTAAGTAAGGACGATCTTTGCTATTTCTATGGCTATTTCTGCATTTCTGTGGAGGTAAATGTAAATCCAAGATGCAACTTCTTTCTTCTTCTTCCTCCTGAGCAATCTTCTTTCAGACAGTACCTCCAGATCTGACTTCTAGTGAAGCAGTTTGAGAATTGTGAAATTATGGTTTGAAAAACAAATTATTTTCTTTCCCCTTTTAAAGGATGTTTTGGTTGAAACTCCCGTTCAAATGGGAGATACCCAGAGAATTCTTTAAACTTCCGAAGTTTTCTCTCCGTACCCACTAGGATATAATTAATTTTGAGATTCTGTTGATAGTCCAAGTAAAATTTTATTTTAGAATATGCTGGTAAAATTGATAAAACGTGGAAGGCTTAAGAAGTTAAAAGGCAAAGCTGAGAATGAAGCACATAAGAACATGACTGCTGATACCCAAGACAAGTGAGATACAAAGAGCTGATGGCCTGCCAAAAAGCACTGGACCAGATCCAAGGTCAAGCTAGCAGAAAAACAAATAACCTTCTAAATGTTGCTTATCTAAAACAGAAACTTTGGCAGAAATAATAAGGACATGCTTATTTTAAAAAGTGGATTCTATTACTGAACAATGCTATCCCCAAGAGGTTAAATGAAGATAATTTTTTGGCAGCTGGGTTGGAGACTAAGACATACGACGAATGGTTGCAGGACTTGTGTTTGGCTAGTCTGGAGAACAGAAGGACTAGAGGTGAAATGACAGCAGTATTCCAGGGGCTACCACCAAACACCTCCCTTCGACCAGTCCGCTCCCACAGAGAGGGCCTCCTTAGAGTGCCGTCGGCCAGACAATGCCGGCTGGCGACCCCCAGGGGGAGAGCCTTCTCTGTGGCAGCTCCTGCCCTCTGGAATGACCTACCCCCCGACCTACGTACAGTTGCGGACCTGCGCCTTTTTCGCCGATCCCTGAAGGCCCATCTATTCCGTGCGGCCGGCCTGGCGTAGTTTGATTATGTTTCAGTGGGGGTTTTTGTATGGGTGTGTTTTTAGAACAGGCCTATTATTTAATTCGATTTTAGAACAGAAACTATTTATTTATTATCGTGGTTTTTAGTATCGCCTGTTCACCGCCCTGAGTCCCGTAAGGGAGATAGGCCGGTATATAAATTTAATAAATAAATAAAGAAGAGGGGGTCAAATTATTTTCCAAAGCACCAGAGGACAGGACAAGAAACTATGTATGGAAACTAATCAAGGAGAGAAGCAATTTGGAATTAAGGAGAAACTTCCTAACAGTGAGAACAATTAACTAATGGAACAGCTTGCCTTCAGAAATTGTGGGTGCTTCATCACTGGCGATTTTTAAGAGACTGGATAGCCACTTGTCTGAAATGATATAGGGTCTCCTGCTTAAGCAGGGGGCTGGACTAAAAGATCTCCAAGGTCCCTTCCAGCTCTGTTCTGTTCTGTTCTATTCTATCTCCTGCCACAGTCAATTTTGCAAACCATGGACATTGCAGAAGATTAAACAATGCTGAATGTTTCATTTGCTGGAGACTTTTCTGTCTTTTATTTTCCTTTACAATATAGAAGAATGTACACTACATACTTTAAGGCGTGCTTATGTTTTTTGTAAATAATTATTGTCATGGTTGTTATAACAATGCTCTCATTTTTGGTATATGGTTTTTTTACAAATGTAAGTTTTTTAACAAATAATCTTTTTTTATTATTTGCAACTGTATTTGGCAGGCATTCTATTTTAGGATTGTACTGAATTTCTTTGAATACAACTCTTTTGATATACTATAAATTAAATTTCTGGGTCAAGTGATAAAGAGAAACTAAGATACGTTAGCTTAAAAATAAACTTGCACAGAAAGAAGGGGGCAAATGCTCTTGACAATTAATTTTATGAAGAATATTTAAATGAGAAACCAAGAATTGGTTAACAATTTCTACTAACACAATGTGATTTACTTGATTTTGACTTAGCATATATATAAACTGAATCAACTGTACTTTGATCAAAAACCATGGCTAAGCAAACCATGGCTTAGCACAGTGATGGCGAATCTTTTAGAGACCGAGTGCCCAAACTGCAACCCAAAACCCACTTATGCATCGTTGGGTGCCGGGTGGGTATGGCCCATTGGCTGGGTGTGGCCAATTTGCTGGGTGTGGCCAATTGGCTGGGTGTGGCTGCAGTGGTAACGGCAGACTGGGTGGGACTAAAAAGTTCAATCAATCAATTCCGACTTTGCAAGACCTTTTTTTTCCCACAAGAAGTTGAAACTGACTGATTGAGTGAACCTTTTTTTTTTCTACACGGCGGTGGAGGCCTAAAGCAAAAAGGTTTCATAAAACCCAGCTGAAGGCCTAGGACTGGGGTGATGGCGTGCATGCCCACAAAGAGGGCTCTGAGTGCCGCCTCTAGCACCCGTGCCATAGGTTCGCCACCACTGGCTTAGCACAATATGTGAACCAGGAAAGAAACAAAAATCAGAACTCCCAATTATTTGATTACAGTAGCAAACAGTAACAGTAGCTTTTTAAAAAGCGAGATAAGAGCTTAATGAGAATAAATCTATAATTACTATAAATGGCATCTAAGTTACAATTCAAAAAGAATATTAATAAGCTTAATCATTTCAGTTCTACTGACTTATCTCAAAAATATTATCTGTTAGCTATAGTCTCTTGATAGCTTTCATTTTAAAACACCACAAGTAAATATCCATTTAAATCAAATTATTTTCCTCTTTTTAAACTACATATATACAGTATATATCAATCATATTATTCCATTTGGGGGCAAGCAATATTATGCAAGCTTCATTGGTGGGTTTTTTTTTGGTAAGATAAGAAATTAGTAGACTACAATACTAATCTGAACCAAGACACGATACTAAATTTTTGGTGTATTTTGCTGATAAATCATAAGCACAATCAAAGCCCAGTTTTACCCAGTACATGCATGACATTCTAGGCATACTACTCTAATCCAGAGACTACTTTGCAAGCAATATATTTTCATCTAAATACCAACAATTCAGCATTACATGCAGTGTACAAATATACACATGCTTTATTCTATGTTATATTCCTATGCTGGTCTATGACTGTGACAAAGATTTGATTTTATGACCCATTCCTTTCAACTAAACATTGCGTATGACATTCCCTAGAACAGGGGTGTCAAACTGCCAGCCTGCAGGTCAGATGCATCATGCTGAAACCGCGCCCACCCCATTGCCTGCAATGGGAAAAAAGTCGTGATACGTCGTGTCACGTGACATTGCCCTAGAATTTTAAAAAATAGATTAAGTGTACAAACTTATTTTTCTCACCATATTTTATGTGTATTTAACTGGGTATCAAGGTTACTTATTTTTCCTTGTCATAAAGAAACACTGATTTCTTACATACCTGCAGGGTGGCAAAAACATAGAATCCTTCATAAGCACAGATCCAGAAAGAAGAATATACCAGCATCTTGCAATAGTATCAGAGCTAAAAAAATAAAATAAACAAATATACATAAAATACTTGTTAGCTCCAGAACTCCCAATTAAAGCTTTTCAAGGATGTTTTTCTATTCACTATGTCAGTGATGGCGAACCTTTTAGAGACCGAGTGCCCAAAAACTGGCCCCCCGCCCTGCTCCACCCCTGCCCCTGCCCCTGCCCCACTCCCACCCCGCTCCCACCCCGCCCCCACCCCGCCTGCCGGCAGGGCCACCCAACACCTCCAGGGCCCGCCGCAGATCGCCCAGCAGCGCCATGGCAGCCATGCCCTCTACCCGCACCCCACAGCATCAACTGTGCACGATGGGGCATGAGGGCATAGTCTTGTTTACGCTGCCTGGCTGCCATGTCCTTGGCTGCACTGCTCCACGTGGGCCATGCTTGGGGGCGACTCTTTTCCAGGAGGGCTGCTGGTGAGGAGGGGGTCACAGGGGAAGGCAAGGCACGTGTGCCCACAGAGAGGGCTCCGAGTGCCGCTTCTGGCACCCGTGCCATAGGTTCACCACCACTGCACTATGTTATCTGTCCAAAGGTATGCATGCAGAAGAAAGGCTCTTGAATCCTGAATGAATGATAAAACCTGTGAAGCATGTGAATTCTGTCCCAGATCTTGGATGTCAATTATAAATTTAAGTTTATGGATAGTCTAATTTCTTCGGATCTATTATTTGGATAATAAAATGTACATGCATTACACAGATGTAGGCATGATTCTTCTGATATAAGTCGTATATTATGCCTTACATTTTCATTCCAGGTAATGATTAAATGCACTTACCAAAATAAAACTTGATTTCCATCATATCTTTTGTACCGTGCACTGGAAGTCATAATTCTGAGAACAAAAATTTAGGCATCATCACATAACATTCACATCTTGCTAGGAATAATTGTAAACAATTCACTGAAAATCTCAATTGTTATACCAATAATCTGTACATACAAAAGCCAAGTTGGAAAAGGATTAGAAAATTCAGGTAGAAATCTACTGTCCTTCTAGTCTCCCTAAAAGAAATTCAATGTTTAGAAATTCCAATGGATTTAAAATAATCATTTCTATATCGAATTTTGTAATATTTCAGTTTCTTAATGTTTCTTTCAGTTTCTACAAAAAATCTCATCTAGAAGAGAGAAGATTTATTTTATACCTAAAGAATTATAACTATCCCTCAAAAAAGGCAAATACAAAAGTTCTATCTTTTCAGTGAGGCCTGCAGTACATTATAATTTGTCCAGAAATAAGCCCCATTGATTCCAGAATCAGCTTCAGATGATTTGTTACAGAACTGGGAGGAAGGATTTTTTATTTTGTTTGTTTTTAATTGCAATCTTCTCTGTCATTTACTGCTTGTTATATTCCATGATTTGGAAAATTCCCCCAAACTGAAAAAAGTGTATATAATACATGTTTGTATTGTGTAATACTTGTTTTTTTCTCTTGCCTTGAGATATTATTTTAAAAGTAACCATTAAAATAAGTTATGCTGCACATAAAAGTATTTATTTCCATCAGTACGCTGATGATACTCAGCTGTACATATCCACCCCGGGCCACCCCAACGATGCCCTTGACGTGATGACCCGGTGTCTGGAGGCCGTGAGGGTCTGGATGGGGAGGAACAGACTCAGGCTCAACCCTTCCAAGACCGAGTGGCTGTGGCTACCGGCGCCTCGGCATAGTCAGCTGGTTCCATCGCTGAC